GATGGATGAATTTAATACCTGAGATAAGTGTACGTTTTTGTTTTGTTTTTTTGTTTTTTTATAGGCGCAGTCTTGAAACTTTCCGATCGCACCTCGTACGTTATAAAATCGAGGAAATACGATATTATTCAAGTGTGACCAATGACTTCTGTTTATATACTACCAGTTGTCGATACTCTATATTTTTGTTTGAATAAGAAATGCAGTCTTAATCGCACCACGATTTCGTTTTGAAGTTGTTAGCCCTTGAGCTCTACGACAAGCCCTCGTGGCCAAACCAGAGACACGCGTTGCTACCATTATTTGAGTTGAGTGACCAAGGGCTTCTGTTGCTACAGTACCAGTTGCTGATCTCCACCACCCTTTCCATCTTCATGGGTACCATTTCTACGTCATGGCCATGGACCAGTTCAGGAACGGAGAAACCTTGCAGAGTGTCAGTAAGGAACTCTTGCGAACGAACTTCAGTCGTTCATTACTGCCCGCCCTTAAGGACACAATAACCGTACCTTCCAATGGGTACGCTGCCATCAGGTTCAGGGCCGATAATCCAGGTAAGACGCCGTATCGTATGGTACAACAGAAGCGTAGATCTACGGTAGCTTTACCCATCGAATCGGAGTCTGGGTGGCAGTCCGAATCGATTTGGAGGCTATGAGAAAAATTCTGCTCCAGCTAGGAATCGGACCCTGGTTGTCCAATCCATAACCAGCCCCTTTACTGACACGTCTTCGCCAGCTCTTACCAATCAAGCGCGCGTACGTACCTTCACACATTATTTCCCTGTCCCTAATTCCTTCTTGAGAACTGACAGTCGCTCAGTTAGCCAAGAAATCTCTTCACTTTTATAAAACCCAAACGTCCACTACCGTTCACAACAACCAGAAACTAAACTCTTTCATTAGCGAGTTAGAGCCAATCTACATTTGTACACTAAATTCATTTTAAAAACATTTAATATGTTCCTCCGTGTAGCCCTTTCTTGTCTCTGGACAAAACTTCGTATAAATTTATCATTTTATCCATGTCTGCTAGGGAAATATGTTCCTTCTATCGGAACCGATTTTGGATTTATCGCCTAAATATTTGGCGAAGAGTACAAATTGTTATGTATTTCTCATTGTGCAATTTGTTCGTCTACGTTAAAATATTCTCCTACGCACTTTCTTCAGAAACCCTCTCAATCTACTCTCTATTTACTCACGATAAAAGCTTTGACCTTGATATTGCGACTCACGACGAAGACCCGGAAACACGAAATATCCGACACATGTAGCTTACATTCTAATTCACAATATTAATATCAATGTTGTTATGTGTTCTGACAACAATGTATTTGTCTTTCCCGCAGGTCTGTGGTTCTTCCATTGTCATTTTATGTACCATTTGGCGACTGGTATGGCTGTAGTTATGCAGGTAGGAAATGATGGTGACTGGCCTCCTGTACCACCGAAATTCCCGAGATGCGGCAATTACCAACCCACGCCATATTTGGAAGACTATTCGAATATAATCCGTGGTTAAAACAACTCTCCTGAAGACCAATACACGTATTTTGGTTAGTGACTTCGTATGACGAATGAAGACATAGTTTGTCGAATTGTAAATATGGAATGACATGTTGATAACCTCTAAAAACGCAAACACAAATGTATAAAGGCTTTGGTAAATACATACAGCTTATACCCTCATCACAAAAAACAAGCTTATGACTTCTCTCTGGTTGAAGAAAGTCTTAGAATTCCTAGCTACCTCTGTTATTTACCTTCATAAAGACCTCACATGCTCATCACCAATACAGGGCTCTTTGGGTTATCTGTAGCTGTTAAACCAAAACAAAACAGAACACATAAATATATCGGTTTGACTATATCATGAAGCAAGTAAATACAGTCTTAACCTAAAACCATTTTTGTTTAAAATACATTTTATTATTAGACTTCATGGCGAAGTGCTTAACTAAGCTTAAAAGCAAATTTAATTTTACCATAATTTTAATAGTATCCATCCATCTAGGCTACACCTTTGCGTTGAAAGTGATTTAATCCCTTCAGAATTTCCAACTAATATTTTAAAAGCATTTCCCGTTGATCTAGTCTACCATAAAATTTCGCTTAACAACTTCGGTCTCAGAACGAAGGACAAACTAATCACGTCAAAGAGACACGCAATTAAACCTTACAGTCGTCAAAATCAATACATTTATTACACGTTCACCTTAACGCCAGGAAAAATGTCATATTTACTATACACAAAACAGATGCTTATGACAAAAATTCATGCAGTGCATTCAACCAAATCCTAGTCGAAACACCGTTAGTGAATTATGTAGATATCTCAAGTGTTTTTACATAAAACACCAATACGGAGGAAAAGTGCTAAATGCATGAAAAGTACTAAAATATCTTTGTATGGTTGTTTATTTAACTAACCAGATAATTAAAATGTACTGAAAGTACCCCTATTTACCAAACGTACCAACTGCAAATTCTGTCAGGGCAATGTCTTAACATTGAGGAAACTATGTTTGGAACTCGTTTGGATAAGATCAAACTGTATCGTAGTTTTACCGCTATTTAAGACGTGTATTGTATAAATATCGCCGGTTATTACAGAATATATTTAGTTCCGTTAACGAGTAGAGATGTGGCCACTGAGGTACTACATCCTATCCACGGTGCTCAGCGCTGGGTTCACAACACTTGCAGGTAAGGTAGCACAAGACTTTGTTAAGTCCTTCTTTCTCCATCAACAGGGCGATGATGGACCGATTGACTTGATGATTGAGGCAGCAAGGACCTCTGATATTCACAAACTCTTTTTTAAGAGAAATATTGCCATTCTCCCATAAAAATCTAGATGTCTCAAGTGACATCTTCTAGTTATGCTTTCAAACTAAAATTTGTATCCATTTCTCATTTGATTCTTAACTTGTGTGAGATGACATCTCTTCTAACGTTATGCGAAGATATCACTGCTATGAAAATGTCGATTCTAGAATTCTGGTCTGTTACAACGTGTAATTTTCTAGGTAATTATCATCGAGAAGAAAAACATGTTTCTTGAGCTGACTGTGATAAGTTATGAAGCAGATATACATGAGTTTTTCTGTATGTAGAAACATCACAAATGTACTATAAATGAAGCATAAAATATTGTTTTCATGCTAACAATTACGAACGTCAATGGCGCGAAACAGAAATTTTACAACACAAATATACATATATGGAAATTACACATATGATGGAATCCCAATTTTCTATCTTTTTCAGTTTATGGATTTTTCTAAACTGTTCATATTCTTTGACATATGTAAAGGAAAATTTAGTAATTCTTGCAAGGACATTTAGCTTACATAAATAAATCAATATATGGTTTCTGGAACTAGTTGATTTTTAAGGTTTTTTTTAAAATTTTGACAAAGGCATTTTCTTTTTATGATTTTTTTATACAAAGTTTATTATGGGAAAGGTAAATCATGAAGGCTGACCTTCACACACTTAGTATCTATATTTAGTTTAACCACAATCCATCTTAGAAGTACCTGTCAGAATATCTAATGGTGTACTGAAGTGATATGTATATCAGTACTAGCTTATAAATAGGAACTTCAGTCAGGTAACTGGACACACATGTCCAAACCTATAGTAAACTGGTTTATTTTCTAAATCACTGAACTCTTACAGCAGGGAGCGAATAAAATTTAATTAAAACATTATAATTATAAACTGACAGTCAAAATAAAGAGGAAATATAGAGTAATACTTAAAATATTTTTATTGAAAAGTTCAAGAATGTATCTTATAAAAATTAAAAAGACGATAATATGTAAATTTACTTAATTACGAAATCTGCGAGCGTTAACAAGTACACATATGTACTTCGAGTGTTGCATAGAAGTACGTAACCATATCAGACCATGGATGAGTAAACAGCATTTTATTTCAGTGCATTTTTTCCACAGAGTAATAAATATTAAAATCACGTAATGTAATATAACAATAAAATTAAAACTATTACTTATCATTCCTTAATTAAGGAATATAATAAATTTAGATTATGGCAGTCTCAATTATTATCACTTATCGAGATCATAAAACCTACGCTGCCTCGTACGGAATCCAGTACACACGCTCACATCCAGTTTCTTAATTGACTCATTGTATGTTAGCACTGAAGTTAATTTGTAAATGAAATTAGTAAGATCTACTTTATTAGTGTTTCTTTAAGTTCCACTAGAAATGCAACGTCTCGTACTCAAAACGATTTTGGTGGTACATAACTAGACGACTGGTGTTACAGAATTGGTGGACCTTGAGGAGTTCCTTCAGCCAGACAGTGTTCTGAACGATGAAATTGCAATCAAAGGACGCAGGAATTACAGTAACAGGTGTTACAGAACTTGTATCGCCGGCGCTGAACCCATGACCTGCTACTACCGCTGGACTATCGAAGATTACAACACCCTCGGGGCGTGAGTGACATTTCCCATGTGTTTTGATGTGTCTGACTCAGATTCATCTCAAAAGAGGTTTCTGTACTTGATTTTCGCATGTACTTTGTCTCTCTATGACCAGCCACTTCCGGGCTATTTCAAGTAATTACAATGACATTATAATAAACTTGCGAAGCTCACAAAACTGCAGCCATGTAACTGTCACAGTCTCGGTAAGACCTTTCAGAGAAAGCAATGGTATTCTAGGGCGTGTGGAGCGTGTCCGCTGAACGAGACCTCGTGTTTCAACCCCCAGTGCGTCACAGCTGACGGATACGAAAGAGGAATATTAACTGTGAACAGAGGAATTCCGGGACCATCCATACAGGTATGTCTGATTCCACAATTACAAGTACACTGAGAAGAACTTAGATAACTAGAACTGTGGTAAGAGAATAAATATCAAATTTGTAGTTTAAATGCGTCATGTTTGTGTTTAATTCAGTAATATATTTATTTTAAAGTCTTAGCTTTAATAACACCAATTTTAACAACTAAGTTTGTGTATAGACGGAAATAAATAAATATATTACTGAATAAATATCAAGCTTCAAAACTGGTGGAATATCAGTCAACATGAATGAAGACGCTTCATCAGCTATTAAAAGTAAAGAATCATGTTGCTGAATACCAAGCCTATCCTGTTGTCAACAGGTGTGCCAGGGAGACAGAATCATCGTGGATGTGAAGAATAACATGTTGGCACGAACGACCACAATCCACTGGCATGGAATCTTCCAGAAAGGGACGCCGTATATGGACGGAGTGCCTATGGTTACTCAATGTCCCATCAACGAGGGCCAAATCTTCCGGTATGACTTCGTGGCGAAGAATGCTGGGACTCACTTCTGGCACTCGCACGATGGTAAGTTCCTCAAGAACTTATATTGTAAAGCAGCTAATGTGAAGTACTGTGGGTAAGGGGGTTAATTTGAGGACGAGTTAGGTGGGTGGTGGATGGATGGAAAGGCGGACAAATGGCTGGTAAATGGAAGAAATTCTGTTTAGATAAGTACTTGCTTTACTGATTGAATAATGGACTTGTTATTGGATGAACTTATGGATGATTTCGGGAACTACCGATAGTTACATAGAGGGCAGGGGTGGAACTGGGTATATTTAAATAGTTGTAATGCCCTGATGAGTGGACTGAGCAGATTGGAAGTAAAACTAAAACACTGTATGAAACGTTAAACAAATCAAATAATTTGGGAAGTATGGTTGAAGTGAGATGATTTCTTGTATTTTCGACACAGAATAAAACATAAGGGAGCTTGGTCAAGATAACAAGTAGGCATTTGAATGTATTGATAAATAAACTGCGATATAAAGTTGCTGTTTGTCTAACAAAAGGTCTGCAGAAGATGGACGGCCTGGTAGGGAACCTGGTGGTCCGTGAACCTCGGTCCTACGACCCGAACAGCCACCTGTACGACTATGACCTGTCTTCACATGTAATTCTGATCACGGACTGGTTTCATCTGGACGGCGACCAACACTTCCCCGGTCTCAGGACTCACGACCAGGGGCAGAACCCCGACACATTCCTCGTCAATGGCCTCGGTCGATACTTGGTAAGTGAACCGCATTCATGTAAGATATTATAAAGCGATTAAAACAGACGCTTTCACGCCTGTCTTTTATGATGATTCTTCCATTCTGATCTTCATGTAAGGTTCCGTTCTGAACTTCGAATCCCTACGGGCAGGGTAAATGTGCGGTGGGTGATATCGGAAAGAGTTTGCAGTACCTCACACATCACTGGACCATTTTCTTGTCGGCTGCAATTGTTACAAAGCCAGCCGATGAGCAGGCTATTAATTTTACCATCCTTAGTATCATGAATGTCGTTTGTAGTAAGTGGGCGTATTACAATGCAAACCAAGTGTTCTCAATTCATTCCAGACACACGAAACCCAAAATTATATGAGGGAAATTTATTGAAATTGCATTAAAATTATAACTGTGAGCAAATTATGCCTAATACTGCAAACAGGTTAAACTATTACTCTTCTCCAAGTCTTTATCCGTAAACCGCATCCTAATTTTTGATCTGATATTCATGCTGAATAGTTGCTCAAAGCGACAATTATTCCACTCTCAAATACTGACGACGTCGACAATCGTGTTTTATAACAGCAAATATTTTTTTTTCATTATACAGGGTGCAATATTTTTTCAAAAATGTACGCGGGCCGCACACTAAAAACTAGAAACCCTGGTACAAATCAATGCGTAGCGGAAATTTGAGTCTCAAATAGTGATTCTGGAATCACGATCTACTAGACATCTCAATTCTTTGTTGTCAAAAATGTTAAAATGCGAAATTTCAAAGAGAGAGTAATTTCCATATGTCTATTCATTCTTATTCATTTTATACAGGTATTTCCACACTTTTTATAACATAAATTAAAAATAATTATAATAATAGCTGAATTATAGGCGAAACAAAGTATACCGATTTCTGATTCAGGGAATAAAGATAACATTACCAAAAATAATAGGACGTCAAATTTAAAAACTGTTCCTTCAGTAAAATGTCTTAGGCTACCCACAGAAATCCAAGACGGGTCAAATTTATATAAAACATCTTATGAAACTACTCATACATGCTGATATAACATTATGTTCCGGTACCATAAACACATGACCCTAAAGAAAACCAGTCTCTTTCCTTCCCTGGGTAGCATACTCGCATTATCGTCTCTCCTTGGTCCCATTGCCATCCCACAACAACACAGGAACCTCAGGCTACGCCGACAAATTCTACAGAGAACCTCCCTGGGGGTGCCATACGCGGTGTTCCGGGTGTCCCGAGGCAAGCGCTACCGGTTCCGCCTGGTGGGAGGTACGTGCACCGTGTGTCCCTCCCAGGTGAGCGTAGAGAGCCACAGTCTGCTCCTCATCGCGACAGATGGCAACCCCATTGAGCCCGTCCGCGTGGACTCCATCGTACTTTACCCAGGTAAATGCATCTATACTGGACGCTAAATATCTGTGAGCCTGAGCTATGTCACAATAAGAGGGGAAGGGTAATGCACCATTCCCTTCCCGTACCACGACTGCTTGACAGCCGACGCATTTATAGTCAACGAAGCTCGGAGATATCTTGCGACAGTAAACAAAAGACACCCTTCAAGCGTCTCATTAGTGTGACGAACTTGTGATTTGATCGAGCGCTTTCAGACGCTGCGTTCGTCTTTAAAGAAGTTTAGAGCAGATTGAGAATTGTTCTACGAGGTGCGATCGGAAAGTTTCAAGACTGCGCCTATAAAAACCCGTACACTTATCTCAGGTATTAAATTCATCCATCACCCTCGAAGTAGTTCCCCTGGGAGTGAACACAACGATCCCAGCGCCGCTGCCAAGCCTGGAAGCATCCCTGGAAATCTTTCTTTGTCAGCCTGTCAAGCACCATCTGCGATTCTGCCTGAATCTCTTCTATCGTCTCACATCTCCTTCCCTTTAGCTGAATTTTCATCTTTGGGAAGAGGAAGAAGTCACACGGAGCTTAGAAAGGAAGTTGGGGTCGGTTCTTGCAAGATCTTTGAGCTCCTGACAAACGAGAAGTCGATTCTGCTTCTGGTCCTCAGACAGGATGCGTCGCATGTGGAGTTCTTCCTTTAGAATCAGCTGACAGGTCCCAACAATGTCGCACAAGTCGTTGATGGTACGACGTCGATCTTCGTGAATGGCCTGCCGAATCTTGGTAACATTTTCGGGCGTTGTGCTCGAAGATGGTCGTCCAGAATGCTCGTCATCATCGACAGGGGTTCGGCCCTTTTTAAAACGTGAATGCCACACAAAAGTTTGCGGACTCCCCAAATGCTTGCTTTAGCATTTCATAGGTTTCCGTAGCCGTTTTGGCGAGTCTTTGGCCAAATTTGATGCACACGCCATTCCGAAATCGCAGGAGGGTCGGTGTAATGCACTACCAAAACGCCCGTAACTAAGAAACAAATGCTAATTCGATGATGCCGGCTGGCACACTGATTCACTATAAATGTAGGCCGCATCACCTAGCGGCAGAAGCTCGTACTACATCCGGTTTGCCCTCTATTGATATAGTCTTGAAACTTTCCGATTGCACCTCGTATCTTTACCTGTACGTCTCCTGCTGTAGGCAAGATCTGACGCTGATATCTACCTGTAAGTTCACACGTCCTTACAGTCCAGAGTAACAACATGGAAATTTTCACACCCTTGAGAACCTCCAGTATCAAATGCATTACTGAACTTGGCTTGTAACTGTTTTACAGGGGAGCGCTACGACGTGGTCCTTGAGGCGAACCAAGCTGTGGCTTCGTACTGGATCCACGTGAAGGGGATCGGCCCTTGTACCGCGGACGAGCCATATCAGCTGGCCGTCCTACGATACATAGGAGACAGGAGGAAGGAACCAGGAAACCGAAAACCCGGTTACGATGGATTCAACTCAGCAGGACCAGTAATTGTTTACATAAATTAAACTTCTTTACAGCTTCCCCCAAATCTGAAATACGTTTTACTGTCCTAATAATTAATCTATACCAGGACTTATGTTCGACCCAAAACATATACCTACGTGTAACAGACCGGAAACAGAATCGTCATGCCGAGAGACCCGACAAGCTGTGACAAGTACGTGTTAGTATCTCGTCAGGAGAGAGGCGGGCTGAATTATCTTAGAGTGACTAATAAATAATTTGAAAGTGCGACAAAGTTCAAATATTTGGGTACAACAATAACAAATCAAAATGATTTTTATGAGGAAGTTAGGAGGAGACTAAATTCCTGAAATGCTTGCTACTTCTCAGTTCAAAATATTTTGTCTTCCCGTCTGATTTCTAAGAACCTGAAGATTAAAATATACAAAATAATAATTTTGCCTGTTGATTTGCATGGGTGCTAAACATGGTCTCTCACTCTGAGGGAGGAACACAGATTGCAGGTGTTTGAGAATCGGGTGTTGAGGAGGATATTTGGTCCTAGGAAAGAAGACGATGGTGTCTGGAGAAAACTGCACAATGATGAGCTTAAAATCTGTACTCCTCCCCCAGTATTGTCAGGGTGATTAAGTCGAGAAGAATGCACGCGAGATTGGTTGGGAAGCCTAAGGGGAAGAGACCGCTGGGGAGACCTAGACGTAGATGGGAGGATAATCTCAGGCGGGATCTATGGGAGATAGGAGTTGAAGGAGACTGGATTTTGTTGGCCCGGGGCAGGACCCGGTGGAGGGCTTTGGTTAGTTCGGTGATGAACCTTCGGGTTTCTTAAGCCATCTAGTTAGTTAGTTATTCCGTTACAGTGTGGCGATTAGCCGAAGGAACATGTTTACGTTGACACTGCACTGCGCAGGTGCTGAATCCCGACGGAGCAACATGCAACAATGGGAGTTCAGGGATCTGCATCCCGGAACTCAGGAGCTACTTCCCCGTGGATTCTGCCGTACTGAAGCCTATTCCAGATGTCCATCTGGAGCTCGGCTTTGGCTTTCACACCTTCTCCATTGCAGAATTGTTTCTTTCAAACACCTATCACCGCTTTCTTCGTAAGTAACTGATAGCAAACTCTTCTACTTAACGAACAAACATAATAATACTTATGATTTATGCAAAGAGCATAAAATGAATGTTTAATGAGAAGACATGTCCCGTCTTTTCCTCGGTTAACATATTTAATCTGTGACACTTTAAACAGGTTTCGATTGAATTGAGTCAGGGGAGGTGAGGAGTCTAAACTATAATTTAATAGACGAATTTAACTTTAGCCTTTATTAGCTCAAAACGGACATAAACGTCTAAACGAATACATTTTCTCTAAACCGGCTCATCATACAAAGATTGGTTGGTACACGACATAAAACATACAGTAAATAAATACACTTCAAATGTTTTAAACTATTTCTTCTGATTTAGTTTTCAAGTATCTGGATTCTACGAACCGACAAGAGCGAAAATTAAATTCACCCTACAATTTTAAGCGCAAATTCCGATTGCCAATCTTCAGACAAATCTGTGTACATTCGTTTGCAAAACCCGATGAAAGACACACACGATCTCTCTTCCACATATATCCACTTCCTCCACACTCTACAAAGAACGCCAAATCACGACTCCCTATCAGTGCAAGAAGTCATTCACTTCCGTAAAAGAGCTGGTGATGATATTCACTTTGCATCTCGTTTTTTTTCAGAACCTCCAGGGCCCGTTATTGTTTCCAGCATAGTCAACAACATCTCGAATATATTCCCACCTTCTCCCATCCTGAGTCAGCCTCAAGATATCCCTACAAAATCCCTGTGTCCTGCAATACCTACCGGTGTTCCAAAGTGCGGAAGCAACTACTGTGAATGCTTCAACGTCATCCAAGTACCACTGGGAAGCATCGTACAGGTGCTTCTGGTCGACACGTGTAAGTAAAACTTTGTTCCAAGTATGACAAATAATACGTAAGTCTGTTACTCATTTAGAAATATGTAAATTTGTTATAACACAAGTAGACTAGACCTACTCTGAATAGATTCTCATATTTATTATTGCGTAATTTTTAATCTTAGGACATAATTTGTTAATAAACCTCATCCCCTCCCACACGCGACTCGTTCTTCTGCAGCCTGTCAGGAATTTATAAAATGTAAAGGTTATCTGTTCACCAAAGTTCGCCACCGGACCCTGAAATAAGTTCACATTTTCGTACTCTGTTTACTTAAGACCCTTCCAATATTATCCTCTCATCTACGCTTAGATGTCCCACGTAAACATTTTCTGATTTTAGACAGGTGTTCTTATTTTCCCCCCACACCCGCCAAATATCATACCCATATAATTCTAGGTACTCCATTTAATCACCGAAATACTTATGAAATTGTTCGCAGTGTAATCTGTTTCCATCCTTCTGTCACGTCCCCGTTTCGTGTTTAAATATTTTTCTTATCCTCAATTTATGTTCATTCCTTAGGAACAAGATTAAAAAAAACAGGTTAAATTATATTTTTGTACATTTTAATCCCTACTGTTTTAGTTTAGACAGAAAGACAAAATATTATAAACTGAATTACAGCACAAATTCTAATAAATTGATCTGTTCCTTTAACTTATTCGTGAAAGCAACTGTAATCCCATTATTTTTTAAAGGTTTCTTGGCTTACGTTCACTACATTTTCTTACTATTTTATGTTTGAGGTATGAACTTAAGCTTTTATAGTATTCTTCACGGATTCCGCAGTGTTAGCGAAACTAAATTATGTGCTTTGTTGTTCTTTATTGCCTCTTACGCAGGCCAACAGCTGGCCATTAGTACCAGCACTATCACGAGATGAGAGCCAACTGGATGGCATCCAGGTCAGACTGCGCCAATATATCGCGACGTTTTTATGGGAGTTTCTTTGGTTTCTGCAACACACACCAGACTGCTTGCTTTTTAATCCAATCAATCTTATTTCTTAATACAAGGAATGTTACATTCAGTACCTCGTTGCTGTATGGATCTATACTAAATCTTGACTATTCTTCTGCCGGACATGACGACAAGTTTCATGTCATATGGCTACAAAAATATAAGAGAAAAGCATTTTTCCCCCCTAATAAACGCGATTTTTTGTTTCCAATTACAATAAACTCTTCCGTTTCAAAACAGAAGCAGTCATACGCCGTCCTTTAAGAGTCATGATTCGCGTGTGTCTGTGTTTAACGTTTATCCTGGTGTATCCTTTAGGAACATTCAAACCACGCACGTTATACGCCGTTCGTTCAGCCCATGCGCGGTTCTGATAACTTCTTATATTTTCTACCTCAGTGGTATTCAACCTTTTTTGTTCGCGTACCTCCAGATATAATTTCTCTTCAACTTTGTACCCCCAAAGTTGTTAATTCAAGTGATACATAGTATATAATCTACATTTAAAATAAATTAAATAAATTACATTACTGATTATTCAGTGTTTTTCATAAAATAATAATATATATATTTAAATTTCACGTACCCCCGGGGGTACTCGTACTCCAGGTTGAATACCACTGTTCTACCTAACCGACAGACTGGCTGGTTGCATAACGACACAGTAAGAGGGAAATGGAAAGGTCAAAGTGCAAAGCAAGATGTTTTGTGCACTGTCGCTCCTCTGCCTCCCCGTTCAACAACGCGTGTAATTGTTGCTGTCAACGAAGCTCGGATATATTTTGCGCCGGGGTGACGAAGAGAAGAGTGAGTGAGGGACTAACTCCCTTGAAAGAAGCTGTTTCCTGGAAACTTTTTAAATAAAGGCTTTCTGTTCCAGCGACTGTACCTGGGACACTGCACCACCCTTTCCATCTTCACGGCTTCGCATTCCGCACTCTTGGTGTCGGTGTGTTCGGGGCGGGACACACATTGAGCCAGCTGCGAGCGGATCTCCAGGCGGGAATAATACCACAGGCTTCACCTAGACCCACAGCAAAGGACACAATGGCCATCCCTTCTGCAGGGTACGGCGTCATCAGGTTTAGAGCCGACAATCCAGGTAAACACTTTCGATGAAACACCGAGCTCAGACGTCTGAATCTATTACGAAGCTGAATATGGTTCTGGGTTGTAGCGCCGTGTAATCTGGTGATAGTTTACCAACGTTTCAGAGGTCCTCTAAAAAAAAGGCCACCATCTTCGTAATCACCGCCGTTAGAACCTCAAACTACTTCTAAGCCACTTGCACTCCAGACTTGAGCACATCTTTCTAGTTTTGCTGGCATGCTGAAGAGTTTTCTGGTAGGAAACGACTACATGCTCTGCTTTACAATGTTTGTCGTGCAGGTTACTGGATTTTCCATTGTCACTTCCTGTACCATTTGGCAACTGGAATGAGCGTCGTTCTGCACGTTGGAGACCGCGAGGATTTGCCCCTCGTCCCTCGAGGATTCCCCCGATGCGGCAACTTCCTGTCACCAGTGAAGCCGAGGGCCACGGACCGACAACATTCTGTCACGGCGATGTAATATTTATGGTGTTTCACTTATGCTATGGTATCTAATGTATTTATAATTATCAAGAACGAGAGTACGCGAAAAAGAAAACGTTTAAAATGTTCTAAGACAATTTTCTCACAGACCACTTCAAATTCCTTTCTCCTTTATAAACAATAGACTCATTCGTATCAGATGTCTTAATTGATAAATCATCGTTACGAATATTATGACAGACGCTTCTCCTTCCGGTAGGACTCGATCTGAATACACGTACTATCCTATCTCGCATCAGACGTGAAACATAGGTTACGAACCCAGAGCATACAATCAATAATGTGTGGAAAGTCACTTCCAACCCCTCTTAACGCCTTCATGAGCTGATGTTCGGATAAAGGAGTAATTACGTCTTGTGGTCGGGATCACAATTGTCTCGAACGCAATTACATTTTATTCACAGACTACTAACCAACGGTTCTATCGTGCAGCACAGCCTCGCTTTTCGAAGGGTTACAGTCTTTTTCTCTCCAACCTCATCCACCGTCTACAAACCCCTCTTAAGATAACTGGTAGTCAGCTATGGCCTGCTCCGTGCGCCGAACCGTGAATCTACGCCACGAAGAACAAATATTTCCACTAATTTTTAAGCGAATAATCGAAATCGAGATGTTCAACCCCGCTAACGAGTTGGGCCTGATGTTCTGTCAGCCAGATACTTAATATCGTACGGATAAGACTTACTCTTTACCTTGATATAAATTTAGATATGTAGGACGGACGAACTATCTCTGGCTTAAATTGTCTGAACCTGGAGACGAGATGTAAAGGAACAATGCGTTCATCGCGTCGCCTCGAGTTGATGTGGTGACGCAGCGCACTGGCAACTACTATTATAAACACGTGCCAAGTCAATTTCTGATCTACAATGGAGCTTTTGTCTTCTCATGCTTCACAGAACAGACAAGCCACTTATATCAGTGTAATCTTTAGGGTTGATACAAACGAGTATTCACTAGGACCTCCCTTCTGCAGTTTATATATATTTCAACACTTCAAGAAATTCCCTTATTTCTACGGAACCCAAAGATTCATTCTAGTTCACAGGGTCACGTCGGTGGAACCGAATCTGAGCTAAATAACTCAAATCCACACCCTCGTTCTATTATTTCAGTTTTAGGGGTGTCCGTGACAGAAGGCAGCCAAAATGCACCAATCAGTTTCGCCCTGTCTGTCTTTCTGTCCGCATGTAAGAACTCGAGTATGGTTGAACGAATTTTCACCAAACTCGGTAGTGGGCAGTATTTTAATATTATCATCTGACATACTTCTTCTAAATACATGCATGTCCTATACGTCTCATATTCATTTAGAGAAAATTTCGTGCTGATTACCAGGTAGGTCTTAAGTGATTTTCTTCAATCATATCAGATAAAGACTGATATTTTCAAACAATTGGCCACAACCACTTCCTTTTACTTGATTTGATGCTATCGATTCATAACCATTACGCAATACATTTTCTGTTGGCACACAGTAGCAAATCAATTAATAATAATGGAGATAATAATAAAGTCTGAATGTTCGAAAGCACTAATACCAAAGCCTGAGTCAGTTTCATATACCTTTCAGCCTCACAATCTTTCTGTTACAACCATCTTAATATCACCCAACAATCTCTATCTTATTATTCCAAAAGATTTCCTTACCAAAATTATGTATATATTCCTCGTTTCCTCATTCTAATTACATACATCGTAGGTTCCTAGATTGTGCCATCCTAACTAAGTAACAGATGAAATACGAATGGAATCAACTGCATGGAAAACAGTCCATCTTCAGAAGCTGACAGTATCTCAGTTGACCAACACATTTCACGTATTTTATGGAACATGGAGTTTCATTACCGTGTTAATATAAGCCCACAATCGGTCACCGCCCTGAGCCAGATTAATCGAATCAACATCCTCACATCCTGTAATAATAATCCCGTTGGCAATCACATGACACTCCTCGTTCTATCAAAGAATGACGGGATGACATGTTAAAATGGTGTCTGTGTCTTACATATAATAGTGACGATGGAGCAGTCCACGGGTCTCTGACTGCAATTCTACACGATTCTGTATTTTAACACGTTCAAAAACAGCAAGCCAGAATTCTGGGCCTTAACTATAAACAGATTAATAATTCTGTAATATATAGGGACGAAACGTCAGCTGATCAAGTCGTGTGGATACGAAATTAAAGGAAGCCTGAATTAAGAAACTGGCCCTAGTACAAGCCTGTCTATTTTAGAATAACCTCGATGCAGAGGCCCACATTACAACAGCTTGCAGCTGATTTCTAAACAATACAATCCGGAGCAAATTGTTACGGGGGTGGGGAGCACGGATGCTGTGGTCAGATCTGGCTACAGTGACAATGACATCTACATCCGAATGAACACTTTTAGCTTTTCATGTCATATCAGTATTATCACGTTGGATGTAAGCTGCTTTCATCTGTATCTATCAATAACATCATACCCAGACACTAGATACTAAGACATCAGATATTGTTCGACTAACTGCTATAGCAAGTAAAGCGTACAAAAATATTTATCTAGGAACAGCTAAATTTATATATTTTCCAATTTCTCTAGGGGCAAATGGCTGGTCTTTTTTTATATACTGGGATAGTATTTTAGTTCCGCTGTAAGAAACCTTGTATGTCTTGTAAGTACGTATTTTTACGAACGTAATTAACCTTTTCTTAGAATCTTAAAACCTCTGACTTCCACATAATAATAACAGTTAAGACGTCTCGTTATATACGTGTATTACAGCCTTCTTGATCGCTCAAAATGAACCGTCATATAAGACATTCATAACGACAAAATTAAGAGACACCTTTTTTTAGTAAATGTGCGTTAAAATCTATTCAGAAAGATACTTTTTCACCAAATTAAAATTATGCAAATTTCTACGGCTAAACCGATGGATCTGAAGGATTACCAAATAAAGTTAGCACCATTTCCGTGATTCTGATAAGGATATCGAAATGCAAACCGACGACAATACTCTTTGCAAAGGTTAAGACTGGATTTCATGTAACGTGAAACATATTGGCACACAGAAATAGTGTTGATTCCAAACTTTAGCATTTAGCGTGATTCAAATGAAAAATTCGCCATTGATATTAATTATATCCAACTAAAAAGCTAACGACTTCTTGTTCAAAAAACCTCCCCAATTTATAAATATAACGTAAAGCGGATCAACAAATCTGGACAACAATATTTTACAAGGAGGAGCAGGTTACCTGGTTTTGTTACAACAGAGAAATGACTAGGAAGGGTTGAATATGGTGCCACGTTGAGGAGAAGCAAAGAGTGAACATAATATTTTGCTCGAAAAAATTTCTTGAAGGCGTCAACTTTGAAGACAGGTTAAATGTATAGGAGGATAAGCTGTGAGGATGGGAGGTTGATGGAGGTACCTCGTGTCCAGTAACAGATTTAAATATTTGTGATGATGAACCACAGCGTTACACTGTTGCTAATTCTAATCAAAACTGAAAAGCTGTAAAAAAAACCACTGAGAAAACACGGACATGTCCCTAAAATTCTACACTCTTGGTATCTGCTCAAATAAACATTTCTTTGTGGCTGTTCCAAAGATCAGGCAGAATTTTTCATTTAGTAACTTCCCACTACAGTTGGTATGAGATTTAGTTCATTCTCCCACCAAACTCCTCTTATTTACGTCCCGCGAGTGAGTGAGTGACTGTGTGTGTGTGTGTGTGTGTTGGGTGCGTGCGTGTTTCTGTAGGAAAGCGATTATAATGCAGTCTGGGATGATTCTTTTCAATGACGTCACAAGAGCACAATAAAACCTCTGTACAAATAGGAGTTCTAAATAAACTGCACTGTAAAGAGTAATGGAAACTGTGCTACTTCTTTGCAAAAGTCTTTATCAAATGAACGCGAACAGTTTGAAAGCCATTGCGTGTGTGTGGTTCTTTTACCTACAAATACAAACAGACTACTAAATGTGTCTGCTGACTTATTGGTTGACATGACTGCTTTCTCAAGTAATCAGAAAAAGAAACCGAAATACTGACAACAAGTTCTGACCAGAAATTGCGTAAGACGATCTCAGCTCGCGGCCCGTTTACATTTTTTGAAATACTGTACCACTTTGAATAACTAAAATAATTATCCCCGAATATAAATGTTTATTTTCAAGTGGATAATGTTTACTGGGTGAAAAAAATTGTATGAAGGTAATTCTATGCTAGCATGCGAACTCGTTTAAGGCAATAAATTAGTAGCGTATTTTATAAATTTACACAAAGTTTCAATACAGTTTCACTTGTAACCAGCCCCCCCCCACTGGGTGAAAAAAATTGGTATCGTGGTTAGCATTACTTTGTATATGGTAGGTCCCGGATTCACATCTCGGCCAGGATACTGGCTATTCTTACCGTGGTTCCTTGTGGTTTTTCTCAGTCCCTCCAAGCAAATTATGGACTAGTATTTTAAGTTAGACCCGATTCCTTCCATATCATTTTCAATTCACTGCTCATTAATTGTCCTATTGATCCACGCTGTATGACAACGTATTTAATATATTTCTCAAAAACTTTGGTATCTGTCTACCAACGAGTTCACACTGCATCATAGCTCAGAAGAACGTCGACCGAACTCTAATCTGTTTAAGATATACTTAATTTTATCCTCTCATTTACTTTTGGGTCTCACAAGTTCTGTCCTATGCATCTCAGTCTTTGAAATGTGTTAATATTAATCCACTGAGAGGGGGTCACGCGAGCTTCTTATTAAAAAACGGCTAATTATTGGAGCCCTTTTTTATCGACATAGAAAATAATACAACAGGCGATATACGGCTATTAAAATATCCATCCTCCGTTCCTACTTCCAAATGCTAAAACTAAACGAAATACAATATTCGAGCCGCTTGTTGAACAGGTTCCCACTACGCGGTCTCTCAGAAACGCGACTGTATCACACAGAGGTGACGTCACGGAAATCTGGGCTGTCCCCCGACCGTGATAACCACAGCTTCAGAGCTCGGCCTGGCAACAGAACAATAACGTCGCTCGCTGGACGTCTGGTAGGAATTTTCAGGTGCCAACAATTTGGTCTCCATCAAGATTATGTTCATCCCATATTCCCCCTCCACCCTCTGCTGCAGGAGGGCTCCAACTTACTATAGTGTTCAGAAATCTATAAGTGACATGGTACTTTTCGATTAATATCCTTTCGACCTTCCCCGTTAAAGATCGATTGATTCTTTGTTCATATAACAAAAGTTTTTCAACTAAACTGGTAATTTAACATCGAGTTATAAGATGATTTATGAACATTTGTTCCTTTCTAGTTTTCCTGAATAAACTTTCTGTGCGCAATTCTAATATTTTCCATGCGTGTTACAAGTCTCGCCCATGTCTTACTCCTGGGTATTCATAAACTCACTGATATATAAAAAATTACTAACAAACTCACATTAATAAAATGTTAAATATATCTCCTGTAATCAACAGTCATCTAATTCATGCACGCTCGATTCACAGAGCACTGAATATACCATAAGAGCAGCTAGGTTCATGCACAGATGAAACAATTTCATTTGCACGCTAAAAAAAGTATTTAAAAATGTATACTTTTCATTTAACCTCAAATTGGATTCTCTCAGACAGTAATTTTAGTGATGTGCATATCTAGAAATATAATTTAGAGTTAACTTAGGTAACGAGGTTACAAACTCAATTGCTATCTCACAGCAATGTGTTGGGACGCAGATCTGTTCCTGCTGCTTTCTAGGGAGAAACCTTTGAACTGAACTACCGACTGTGATTCCCGACCACTATAGTTGAAAAGAGAAACAAGCTACACGAAATTTATTCCCAGGAAGCCAAGATATAAAGCTTTAACCAAACTCAGTCTGTCTCCGTCTTCCTGAAGCTACATTATGCTACTCCATACCTACAACACGGTTCTACTATCTTTTTCCAAAATGTAGTATTCTGAAATTGTAGGGGCTAAATATAGCTATTTTTGCGGGACTGAGACGGGATGTGCTTTGTAAAACTACTATGAAGTGGCTGGTATAAAGTGAGCGGTCTTTGGCGGGTTTCTCCCTGTAGGCCTCGAGTTCCATCGCAGTTTGGACATTTACCACAGCTACCGCAGCGCTCGACATGGTACGTGTACAGTGAGTGACAGTAATTTGTGTTAATTCGCACCATCGCAATTTATAGCCTGCACCAAATATTACGAGGGCCACCACAACAAAGGAGGATGAGGTGAACGGATCATGTAGCACGTACGGGGAGGTGAGAGGGGCACACAATATTTTAGACGCAATTCCTGTAAGGAGATGCCACATAGAAGATGGAAACGTGGGTAGGAGATAATATTAAAATGGTTATTTTTTATCAAATCTAAAACTTCTTGACGATGGTGAAGAGTCAATTGAATAAAAATTTTCTTAGATATTATCCATCGTCTAGTAAATATAAAACGTAAAACGACGTTTCGGAGATGGGACTCTATCTCCGTCTTCAGGTTCCTACACAGTTGGGCCCACTAGATAGAGCTAATCCCTATCTCCGGACTTTTTCCTTGGATATTATCCATCGTCTAGTAAATATAAAACGTAAAACGACGTTTCGGAGATGGGTGAATAAAAATTTTCTTGGATATTATCCATCGTCTAGTAAATATAGAACGTAAAACGACGTTTCGGAGATGGGGATTAGCTCTATCTAGTGGGCCCAACTGTGTAGGAACCTGAAGACGGAGATAGAGTCCCATCTCCGAAACGTCGTTTTATATTTACTAGACGATGGATAATATCCAAGAAGTCCGGAGATAGGGATTAGCTCTATCTAGTGGGCCCAACTGTGTAGGAACCTGAAGACGGAGATAGAGTCCCATCTCCGAAACGTCGTTTTACGTTTTATATTTACTAGACGATGGATAATATCCAAGAAACTTTTTATTCAGTTCATTTTTATGTTATGAAATGGATTAGGATAATGTTTGGCGGCGAGGAATATGATAATGCACCTTCAGGTTCAATAAGAAGCTGGCACTTTTTAACAAACTAAGTGACTATCAGCTTCTGAAATATGATTATGTTCCATGGGATGATTTACTTGTTTACAACATTAGGGTTATCCAATAGCAATACGGATAAATATGTCTGGGTTGTGACGTCGTGGTATATACCAAGTTACTAAAACTGCAAACTGAAATTTGTCCACTGAAAACTCAATACTTGCTCCACTAGATGGTTATTAATATGTGCAGATAATTTTGTGATGTAAACGAGGTAACCTTAAGTACGGCAAAGCAGAGGGCAAGCGTTATAAAATAAAACCTTCATAACGTGTTAGCTGAATCATAAAAGAAACGAGAAACTTTCAGTACCGTTAAGAATGCAACATATTCTAAAAATGTCAATATCAGCCAAGAGCAATAACATCTGAACTTAGAAATGACTTCCATGTGGCCGAACCCTGAATGCAAGTCTGATGTCTTGTTGCAGCATGGAGGTCACCCTGCCACCAACCGCATTATATTCACCGCATAACAGACTTCCTGGTTTGTTAATGATATGTACTTTAAATGTAATCATTAAATTAGATTTTATTTCATTTGAGTTCATAAGTTAAAACCAGATAGATGTCCGCTCTACATACTTCATCGCGAGTTAAATTATAATCTCGTCTAGCTAACAGACGGCGTCTTTCTGTGAGGGGAAAGGAGGATATATGATCCACCTTCCAAAGAGTAATAATCCCAGTGTTAAGAATCACAATCTCGCTTAAATCTATAAACATCACAGCCAGTATTCGTTATGTATCATTGGTCATGCGTCCCAGGATCCCCGATTCGAATCCCTGCTACTAGAATGCCTCGTAAAACTGAATGCACTTAAAACAAGTTCAGAAGTTAGAGACTACATAGTGTTCTCATATTCCACCAGAAATTTAGGGTCATAATTGTTTGAAACTAACCACAATAATTAGTTAGGAAATATCTGATTATCAAGTAGCATAGTTGAATTGTGTTGTGTTTCCTCGTTATCCCACGACAAACACAACACTTAACGTATTTTATTATTATTTATGCCATTGCCTTCTTCTGTGTGTGAATGGAGTAATTGTTGGGATGGCACGGAGAAACCGGGGAAGCCCCCGGAGGAAAACTCCGTGTTGCCTAGACCACGGCCTTGCCCAACACAAGTTACAAATTCGGGCACCGCCGGGAATCGAACCCGAGACCTCAGGATTACAAGGCCAGCGTTCTAACCGCTAGACCACCGTGGCTTATACTTAACGTATACTAACAAATAAAGTGGAAGAAAGTGGTTGTGATCTACTTTAAGATATTATTACAGAATTTATCCGGATTCAGTGCGTAAGCATTACGATTTTCAGTCTGTTAAGCGAACCTCATGGCTGAGGTTCAAAAATGGAGCCTATCGAATGTAAGAGAATGGTAACAGCTGTACAGCGACTTTAAAGTTAGACCGAAAGACGATTTGAACCTGAAATAAGACAATGTCCGTCACAATGCCAAGAACCAGACGCGAAGCTGTAGGAACAAGGAACATTTCTGCAGCTTGTGGTGGGAACAAATGTTTGTAGCATACATGTAAGTGTGTTTATCTGGGGTTTTATGATTCCGTTTTTAGATCACCGAAATGTCTGTCTGATGGAATACAGCTCTGACAAGGGGAGGGTACGAGTACATCTAATAATAGAAATCACGACGCTGGGTTAGTTCAAGAACTGACATGCCACGGGAGACGATTCTTAACTAAATATAGTTAATATCGCTTTGCAGTCTCGTACAAAAGCAATAACTTTACATTTAAACAAAAAAAAATCCACGTCCAAATCATTACGAATATCGCACTAAAATTTCTGTGTATCCACTCGCCTCAAAACACAGGCTAATAAGATTATAATTTGATATTTTAGGTTCTGACAGTCATCAATACGTCAATTATGGTCTACTGCGTTATAAGGCCGTGTAGATTTGTAGGCAGTTACTAACGTTTCTGTAAGGTTTCTATTGACTCTAAAGATGGAGATAGTACGTTCCTTCGAAAGGATTATAACCGCCTGCAAGTCTACACGGCATCACTTTCCGGAAGACCACAATCGACGTTACTAAAATTTGTAAGACTTGAGGTTTTCACAGCGGTGAGTATGAAGGTTTCTGTCTTCTGGGTTATTGCGCTGTGTAGTCTGGTCGATGTTAACCAACGTTTCAGAGATCATACTGCCTCCATCATCAGGGCGATGAGTATGAAGATATCTGTCTTCTGGGTTGTTGCGCCGTGTAGTCTGGTCGATGTTAACCAACGTTTCAGAGATCATACTGCCTCCATCATCAGGGCGATGAGTATGAAGATATCTGTCTTCTGGGTTGTTGCGCCGTGTAGTCTGGTCGATGTTAACCAACGTTTCAGAGGTCATACTGCCTCCGTCATCAGGGCGATTCAACAACCCAGAAGACGGATATCTTACTAAAATTTGATTTTAAATATTATTACAGAGAACAGGATGCTCAGTACGATATTTGGACATAAGAGTGATGACTCAAGAGGGCACAGAAAACCGCTTGAAAAAATGTATGGGGCATGCGCCGCGCATGGCAGAAATGAGAAATACGCACATTTTAGTCAAACAAGTAACTCGGAAGACAGACGAAGATAGCAGGAAAATTTTAAAACGGATCTTGGATAAATAAGGTTTCATATGAATTACAATATGTACTGTTGGCTAGCTTTTGTGCATACGGTTATAAATCTTAGGGTTTTGTAAATGATTTGGGATTTCTTGAATAACTGAGAACACTATTAGCTTCTGAAGAAGATCACAACCTCATGGACCATATTATCCTGCAGGGGTACAAACATGCCCGCGGTTTTGTGTTGCGTTATGCTATTTACCTGGTAAAAGACCTCGTGATGGACCAATCAAAATTCACAATTACTTTTGAATCCCAAGACGACAGAAGCCCCACTCAATGTTAAGGGCTAGAACTACATTCTCCGTGAGCCTCTGAATACTACTTATATGACATTAATCCATTTTTTCCCCTTTTTTACAGGATGAGCTTCCAGCAGAACAGATTCAGCGTAAGTACAATTAATCACTGCTTGTTTGACCTAAATATAGACCAAAGACTAAATTTCGTAATCAAGAAACGTATTTGTGTTTCTACCATCACGAAATACACAGTAAACCTTAATTAAATATAGTAATCAGATTAAATACTGTCATGCAACTTTTGAATTATATAAAAACAACCAATTTCTTAGTAACAGATTCGTTTAAAACACGTTATAAAATGTTCGAATAACGCAACATTATAGCGGCTTTGTCTAGGGCGGCAAGAAACTGAGCGAATACATAAAGAGAAATAACATAAATTATATAATAAGATAGTGTAGTTGCATCATATTGTGATTTATTAAATTAAAATTAAATTATTTGGTTATTCCGTCAAATCACAATGTATTTAAAATAACATAATTAAAATATCATTCTGTGTTCCATATCGAATAATCGATTTACAATTGGAACAGTTACAACATGTTTCGGTTTTATTAAATCATCATCAGGTGTAAAATTATATTAAATTTAAAACTCAATTACAATTTTTTACAATTTTTCGTAGTGTAGTTTTTTGGAGGTCGTGTCCAGATATTTTCATATAATGGATCAACTTTATTGTTTGAAGTGATGCTTTTGATGTTTACATCGGTCATAGATGAAATAGTAGACAACACAGTTGTGTCTGGAGGTGATCCAGAAGTATTACCGTATCCTATGAAGGTTTATTACTGAAATACATTTTAAATACATTGTGATTTGACGGAATAACCAAATAATTTAATTTTAATTATATAATAAGAGTCTAAAAATAGATAAACAGGAGGGAAAAATAATTAAGTGTTCGCGACTTTGTAATATAAGCCAACAATATTTGGGGCCATAAAAATCATTGCTGCGTGTCATAATATAGATGGCAACAATGCGAACACTAACAAGAATGCATTTTTAAGCTCTGAGACTAAGTCTAATATGACAGCGTATTCTTCGATTCGGACAAAATCATGTTTCTCAGATCGAGGTAATGCGTATACAATCGACTGCAGCTGAATGTCGCAGCATAAGAGTTAAATTAATCGACCATTATTTCCAAAAAAAACTCGATTAGTAACAGGCAGTGTTCAGCTTTTCTGTAAATAAAAAACGATGTTTTACTACGTGTTACAAACCTATCATAATTATCACAGAAACCTGACTTGATTTCTTTAATCCCTCGCGCGAAGTAAGTAATATAGATTAAGATTTATCAGATTACATTTAACATAATACATTAATATAAACGAAGGTGTGACTTCAAACAAAAACATCTAAGGAACAATTTTACTAACTGTTAACAGGTTAAGAGCTTAACTGTGAAGATGATTATTATATAATTAAGGCTCATGAATTTCTTAATATAAGCTATCCTAACTTTCGGAGAAATTAATTGTGCATTTGTCCTCAAAATGTATTTACTAGCATTAATTTAGCCCAGATACTTTCTGAATGGTCTGTATCGTATTTTTAGTACTGAAGAAGGCATTTGACGCCTTCGATCGTGAAAAGAAGGGATGCATCTCCACTGAGATGGTGGGGACCATCCTAGAGATGTTGGGTCACCGGCTGGATGACGACATGCTGGCTGAAATCATCGCCGAGGTCGATGCTGATGGTACGTCATCTGCTCGGGGCAAAACCTGCATTAACATGCCTTGAGACAGGTTACGGTTATTAAGACGAGTGTGGGTAAAAATAATAATTCTTAGTAGAAAAAGATACTTTGTGATTACCATTGTGCCAATACATACACAAAACCGGAATTTAATCTGCTGATACACGTGGATGTGAAATCTGGTCTCAAACCATTACCATGTTACTTCTTTTTTAACGCAAACAAGAAGCTGACGGTGACATGTGTTACCTAACCACGGAAGCCACGTTCATTAGTAAACATACATTTTCAGTACCTGTTGGGCAACGTTATTGCATTTCAAACTACAATCTTAATAAGACTTCAATCACGAAGAGTCAGTTTAAACACGTGAGTAAGCTTTTTTCTATTAGGTATCCGACCATAACAATAAACAAGTAACATCCGTGGGCTCACTTGGTGTCCTAAACTTTCGCTCCACTACATTTGAACATATTAATTTCTTCGCAAAAACATAGGCCTGAAACACGAGCAATTTGAAGATGGCTGTCTTCAGAACAGACATTTCAGAGGTACTTGTTGCCTCCTCTATTATCAGGGCGATGGGTACTGATTATCCTGAAAATGGAAGTAGCAAGAAACTGTGAAACGCGGGTAAACATTTACCAAATTACACGGCTCAAGCCATCCTCGTACTCACAGCCGTGAATATGTCATGAATAATTTGGTTTAAGTTATTTAATAAAATGTGACTAGAATGTGAAATTTAAAGACAAACGAGAATTCGTAGATTCAAACCTGTGATCTTCAAAGACTGTTTAGAGCTGTGTGCTTAAGAATTATTTACTGAACCGACTTTTTGTACTGCGCAGGCTCCGGTGAACTGGAATTTGAGGAGTTCGTCAGTCTGTCATCCAGGTTCCTGGTTGAAGAAGACGCCGAGGCCATGCAACAAGAACTTCGAGAGGCTTTCCGGTTGTACGACAAGGAAGGTAGCCATTTTGATCCTACTAAAAGGTTTCTAACCGTGGTTCATTATATTTGATATTGACGATTTTCTGTACTTCATCCATCGTGCAGAATTTTAAAAATAATTTTTTCCAGGAACTCGGATTATATCCTCCTGTCGGGCCCAACAGAATAGGCATTTTATCTGAAGACAACAGTAGAGTCAGTTCCCGAAAAGAAGTGGTCTCGCTTTAGAATACGGAACAACAGATGAAGTACAGAAAAGAATTCAATAATTCGTAATTTCATCCGCAGTTTATGTGGCTAAACCTACATAAGTGCTGAGAATAAATAAATAAATAATATTAACCGCGCCAGAGATGGGAAGTATTTTCTTCTGGACAGAAATTGTATCTTTAAATATTCTTTCGGTGAAATCTGACCTTTCAACGGTCGAGTTAGATGCACCATTTTCAGTCAAACATTCGACACAAAGATATATTCATTGACGACCATTTTGTAATCATATTTCTTCACTCGTTTTGGTTGGTGAAGTCGGAAACTGATGTAAATGTCCTAATGCGATATATTTTGCACTCGGTTTAATGAATTCAACAAAATGTGAGGATCTCAAAACGAATTAAATATGTCAGTAATATCAATCTTATAATGAAATGATTATTCAGGTTTCAAACATTAAGCTCAAAAGAGCACTGTCGCGTATCTGTGTGCAGGTAACGGCTATATCACAACCACTGTGCTGCGTGAGATTCTGAAGGAGTTGGACGACAAGCTGACCTCAGAGGACCTCGACCTCATGATCGAGGAAATTGACTCCGACGGATCGGGCACCGTGGACTTCGACGGTAAGCCACGCCAGTGGACAAGTGTTGTGAAATAAGTATATAAAATCATGCATACAAACAAAACTGTTTACACTTTGAAAAGCACTTAGTACCAAACGCGTTTCGACATCAAGAGTTTATCATCAGTGGCAAAAAACTCATTATTTCTGTCTATTAATTCATACAGTTCATAAGACGATGATTTGTTATGAAGGATAAGAAGGTCGCACTATATAAAACCATACTTCATGTAATATCACAGCGAATGTTTAATTGCACATGAGTTGGTGTATTATCCAAGTTGAGTTACTTAGCTTAATGTCTACTGGCCTAAATTAAGGTTTCCGTTGTTGGTCTACGGTAAGCCGTGGTTGCATTGTCTGTGCCTGGATTGTGACCTTCAACTTTGCGTGGGTATTATTGCCAGTTCTAAAAAAATTGTGCATGGTTTATAATCATTCTGACCAACCAGTGTGGTCATCTATTGCATACGAAATTTAACTTTGTTTCTGTTTACTGCCAGAACAAATAACACATTGGATTCGTGGGTGTTCTGTCCATTTATGATGTTTAGCATTTGCTGGTTTTATAGATGTAGAATTTTTACTAAAATATCAATCATTTTGCCTTTTGAGGTTATTATTAATATATATTCCATGGGGCCGTATTCTTGTCCGCGGTCGAAGTTGTGTTGAGCGTATTTCGATTTTGTTATGTTGAATCTAATGTCGTGGATATGCTCTTTAAATATGATTTTAAATCCCCTACCGGTTTGCCCAATTTAGACCTGCTCGCAGCTACCGCATTTTAATTGATATACACCGATTTTAATATGTTGTGTTCTGTCTTCTGTTTCCTGATTCACAGCCTGAGTTTTCTGTGCAAGAATCCCGAAGTTCACAATCTCAAAACGCAGTGTAAACATTTTCAATTACAGCACTGATTTATACAGACAAGTGAAGTTTAACGTTACATTTTTATTTCTTTTCAGAGTTCATGGAAGTAATGACAGGAGAATGAAACATTATTTCATATCAACTGACTATACTCTTTGGCCTACCTCCTTCACTACTGAGCATTAGGCCACATTTAAACACAAATTTATGTTTTCAGTAAAAGTGTCTATATTTTTATCGCACACTATTATGCTCATCGTACTAGCTGCATCGTTGTTTTATACATATCATGTGTTGTTGTTATACCGTCTGTGGGATCCTCGTAATGTGTACATGTTGTTCTCTCTAACACAGTATTATTCTACATGTGAAATAAAAGACCTGTCATCATTGTACGATATATATTATATGTGCCACTTCCTCTGTATTAATGTATCCTAAATGTTGTAGAAACTAGTTACATAAAGTTAGCATACTGGTATATATGTGAAGTAAGATGTATTACCCAATTTTCGGTCTATTAGTCTGTACAACATGCCGGTATGCTAATTTTTATAAATGTTATAAATGTAAAATTACCTCATTTCCACAAATATGATTAATGTAACTGAGAATAAACGACCAACATTTACGTAACTGAACTATCTGATCACTGTGTAATATAAATGGTCATGAACACGTAATAATAACGCTAAAATGTAATTATAATTTGATTATTCCAAAAATATATTTGAAATAAGCTTTCTGTATAAATTAATTTGCGTTCTCTGCTATTTGACCGATAAATATAGAAAGTCAAAGAAGGGAGAAGTACAGTCCGAAGAATATAAATCCGACCCTTGGCATGTTCGTATGTTTATTATAACATGGCCCTGTATGTACTTTCTCAGTCAAAAGAAAAACTATTATTTTAAAACTAAACCAATACCCAAAGTCTGAAAGTTACTCACGATAGTGCGTCATAATATGCAAAATTGTTCTTTTGGACTTTGTCCATCGTCAGATTATGAAACAACGTTTCGGATACTCGATTCTGCTTCCGTCTTCAGGTAGAAAATGGGGAAGATGACTCCCTGGTTGAGCTAGGCTCAGAGCTGGAGATTTACATAAAGACGGAAGCAACATCCGCTTCCGAAACGTCGTAGTATATAAGGGCTTACAGGAAAATAACATTTTACGCATGAAACGAATATTTAAGCTGGCCTAAATAGAAAATTAAATTTACGAAGATTCATGTTACACATCTCAGCTTAGCGCGTGTCTTAACACCCTGATAGCACCAACCAGAGTTTAGAATCTCGTGTCCGAAATAATTATTAAATCGTGTTTTCTTTTTGTAAACCTATAAGGATTACTCAGTCTTTGCAACTCATCTGCTACCTTTTAAGAATATGTAATTATGAGGTTCTCAGATCGACGGAAAAATGATTGTCCACCCCAGCACAAAATTCCGGTTATTTTATAATACAAAGTTTCTCTTCATAATTACTGTACGGACTTTACACACGAGTCTAAAACAGTTTTGTTTTAGTCATAGTGAAAATATTATAAATAATAATTACTTTTTGTTTCCTTGAGACCTAAAATTTCCGTCCAAAATCTTTTCCACCGGTTTGTCAAGAAAAAATTAATTAAAACGTTTCTCCGAAATTATTTATGAAGTGTGGAAATCATTTTACACGAACAATATCCTGTGTTACCTTTGTCTCTCCGTGATAATTTCACATCACTTAGCAGATCTACTTAAATCCTCAGCATGCCTTGTAATTACCAGGTAAGATAGAATGTAATCTGTTCTCAGAAGAGTTTCAGTGTTCTAGTTTCCTTGCATCTGTTTTTTAAATATGTTATCGGCATGGAGGGTAAAATCAAACAACAAGAATGTCTATTGCATAATGTCAGAAGGGCATAAGAGCATATCATCATAATCGCCCTTACAATTTTACCATGTCGTATGCATGCACATTTGTCCGAGACCGACAAAAATAAGGATTAATTTGTAAAAGTTTTCGGTAATTTTTAAATCGTTAAAATTGTAATAATTGAAATAGCGTAAAATGTCTTACATGTATTTTTTTCTTACGGGACCCCGTTAATCTATCTCGCCCAGGCCTCGAGATTTCCTTAATTATAAGATTATATAAAATATGATAAATTACATTCTCAGATAAATTAAAAGTCACTAACGCTACTAAGTGACCTGGACTGAGAAAGAAACACATATAAATTTATCTTACAACTTAAATTTCCGACAAATGATAAAACGTTTCTATTAACAAACAACATCATTTCCAAAAAAGAGTAATTTTTCTGTGAAAAAATCAGATGGTTTATAAACAAGACATTACTACAACACGTGTGCGTTAATTTAATTAACCAAATGCATGTTGCTATTTTTGTAATTAAATCAATTACAATGAGACACATGTAGCAATTAAGTGAAATGAATTATTACTAATACTTTGCTCATGCATTGTGTTATGCCCATGAACCACGTTCAGTTAGTAGAAGTCCGGCCAATTTAAGCAAACTGCTTCTTACTTGTCTCTTTGGTTCCTCGTTGTTTATAAATAGACACATCCGGATTTCGAAATCAAATAATTGTATATCCCCGTTACAGACCATTTCTGCGTTATATCATTTTTATTATTACGACTGTGTATGCCCTTACCAGTGTCAGCCAAGGAATACGAAAAAAAGAGACTGTACGCTTGGACTAATTTATTTACGAGTAGCAAAGCAACTAAAATATTTATACCGCAAAGAACAATGAATTGTACGAAAAACATTAAACAAGCAACCAAAGGGTCGGCAGAAACTGCCACGAGTTAGATAAAATTATAATAAACTTTAAATAGAAACGGGCGTTAAATACAGTGGGTTAGAAATAAATTGGATAGTTTAGAAAGCGGCTTGAATGCAAATCTGTTGAGCCAAGAACAACAGAAATGTTAACGAAGCAAAAATATACAGCAGTTAGGACGAGAAAATCAAAGTTCGCTTCAAACACGATTTCAGGTTACAGAATCAAAATAATTTAAAATTAAGCAAACTGTGGGATGTAAAACATGTATTTTGAAGACTTGAGGTTCTCACAGCGGTGAGTATGAAGATTTCCGTCTTCTGGGTTGTTGCGCTGTGTAGTCTGGTCGATGTTAACCAACGTTTCAGAGGTCATACTGCCTCCGTCATCAGAGTATGAAGATTTCTGTCTTCTGGGTTGTTGCGCTGTGTAGTCTGGTTGATGTTTACCGACGTTTCTGAGGTCGTACTGTCTCCGTCATCAGGGCGATGACGGAGGCAGTATGACCTCTGAAACGTTGGTTAACATCAACCAGACTACACAGCGCAACAACCCAGAAGACGGAAATCCTCATGTATTTTGAAATTTCTTGAAATTCCCAGCACTGTTCCACCAGCTTCACTGTAAGGTACGTGGTTCGACCTCTGATAAAATTACTGCACATCGGGTATCAATTTATTTTAATAGATTTCTACGTTAATAGAGACGGGTGGATTGACGCGAATAAACTATTGAAAACACTTCATTAAACCAACTTACACGGCTGGTAGCCCGAGAATAATTCATTATACTTAGTCATTCAAAATACACGTCGCTTTGATTGACTAGATGAAGGAAAATAATTTTTTGTCGTATTCTTCCCGTCTCAAAGTACGACTTTAGAACAACAGCTGGTATCCATATTGTTGCAGCCATTTTAAAACGAGTTTACGATATTGTTGGCTGCATCTTATAAATCACAACTTCAAAATAAATTCAGGAAGTGTTAAGTCATGTGGTCGTGTCAAAATTTCAGAGCTATGCATCACTCGCGTTGAAATTATTTTCCCTGTAATTTACTAATTATTTACGATAACAAAATTGTTCAAAATATAACCTTCGAGTTTTTACTAGATCTGCATTATGTATATTATCAGTTTGTTGTTAAAAGAAATTATGTCAGCGGTTAGTTTAGGTAAGGTTAATGATAGGATATCGTATGTATTACGAGGTCGATTGTGTATTATCAGTTTTGTGAATTTGCCTACACCAACGAAGTTACAAAGTGAGGAAGGTTAGATTAAGTAATATTTACAACAAGATAACTGGCAATGTAATGGTAATGGGATTAGAGTAGTAAACTTTGCGTTTCAAAAAATCCTCTTGTATAGAGTAAAATGTTTCCACAAATTCTTAAATAAACTTTGACTTTTCGTGATCAAAGAGACACAGTCACATTGCTCATGTCCTGATCGTCTGAAAACGGCATTCAAGTGAATTTGATGTCCGATCTTTTTTAGGCGATGGCTGTGATTCTGACCAGTATTTTGGAAATGCTAACGTTCTGGAGACCATCAATACGTAAATAAGTACGAAAAAGATTTATGAGGAGGGAACAAACATCAAGAAGCTAAACCACACAAACAGTATCAGAAAATACGAAGTAATGTTTATATTCGTCCGACAGAACTCAATATTAAATTTGTTACATTCATTTTAGTGTGTACACTCAATACTAAAAATAATACAGAAGCTACTCTATTATTTTCAGAGTAAAACTTTCGGACGAATAGAACGTAATGAGTGAGTGGCTACCAGTTCTCCTTTGTATTCTGGTAGTCACTAGTTGAAACGTCGGCTCGGTAAGCGGCTATCCTAGCAGATTTTTGTGATTTGCTTTAGTTCCTACGGCAAAATGCCGGATAGTGCCTTAAATTATGTCAGGATGGCTTTCTTCCTTATTCATCCCAATACATTATTCATTTTACATCCTATCCTTCGACGCAATATAGTCTAAGCTGACAGTTCGTTAAATAAACCACAAATAAATTAAAGTACCGACAGACGGACATGGCCTTAATAATTTACGTTTACTATATGAAAGAAAACGTGGAGACATAATAAATGTATACTGTAACAAGTGGAAAGGCGTAAGCAATTTGTGACGAAAACGAGGTTTAGCTAAATTTAAGTTGCACTCTGAGAAAAAGTAGCAAGAAAATGTCAAGGTTCATCGTCTGATATAATGGCTAATAAACTGGAAGTAGCATTCCCATTTCGAAAATTTATGGTCCCTCAAACTTACTTCAATCCGGTTCAGACTGATGTTAAAATAGATGAGGAACCTTTTCGTGGCATTCAACAGCTCAAATTATTGCAATAATTCCTACAAGAATCCTGTGGAGGTAAACACAGAAAAGGAAAGAATATTAACAAAAAGTCCATTGCATTTAGAGAAAGAAAATACTTGAGGAAATTTGTCAAAGATCATAAAATATTTCAACAAGTGGGAAATACCAACTATTCACAGAACTTTATTATTTTAATTTATGTAAGCCTACAGCGAGAAAGCAGCTCTTTAGGCAAGTACTTTTCCACAAGGCGTCTTTCAGAAAACACTTCGTTCTGCACAAATATTCTACTATTTTCTAATTTTCATTTGATTTTGTGTCTGTTTTGTTACAGATTACTACTACATGTCAGGTTCAATGCTTATTTCTTGTTTCTCTGTGTTGCAGAATTCATGGACATCATGACAGGTGGTGATGAATAGAAAAGCACGATCTGTACATAAATTTGATTCACTCGATATATTAAAATATTCTTATTTATAACATTATGTAATGCATATATATATAT